TTTGTCACCCGTAGGACCCGCGCGGGGCCTGTTCCCTCGCCAGGGCCGCGCTGGGGTTTTCCCCCCGTGTCCCAGTGAGTTCCACCTGTGATACGCCTGCTCGCTGGTGTCGTTCAGGTAGAGAAGGAGAGAAGGGGGAACCAGAGCTGCATCAAGGGGGGTTTCCAGTTGAGTGTCGTGTCGTGGGTCACCCGTCAGACAAGTGAAGTTCACAGCCATGTGGATGTTCCTCCTGTTGGTGGCTATGAGTGGCTGGAGGAAAGAAGTCACGTCGATCTCCACCCACCTGCGCTTCCTAACTTCGTGCAGGCTGAGGGCCAGGGAGTGAGAGACCCTGGGGCAGACCTGGCCGGGAAAATCCTGCTCCTTCACAGACAAACGGCACGTGCACGTCGTGGAAGAGGAAATGGGAAGGGGTGTGTCAAAGGAGTAGAGCAAGACAGACTTGAGTAAGTGCTCTAGAGCAGTAACACGGTCCAGGTTGAAGAGTAAATCCACCGAGTGAACATCTCCTGAGAAGGGAAACAAAATCCTGTGGAGTTAGAGCATCTTCTTTTTCCACCCAGACATAAACACCCTCATGCAGTGGTTGATTAGAAATAATTCAGCAGAAGAAACCAATTTAGATGCCCTCCCTTACACTTGTTAGATGGAATTTCTACTTTGGTCAGGGACATAAGATTGAAAAGTTAATTGTGAGTATATTTTTGAATCAGTAGATTATACTCTGTCAGGAAATGCTAGTCATAAACATTGGCTTCTTTATTTTATTTCTGCACAGTGCATGCGTCTTAGCTGAAGCTCCCAGTGCTATTACTATGGATGTTTGTGTTTAAGGTTTTCTGTCTTTCTGAGTGAAAAAATCCAAGCCAGGAGGACTGGGGTCACTTGGCAGCAGTCACAGCAGTAGAACTAAAGGCCAGGGATTTCCAGCTGCTGTTGCTGTGTCCGGCCCACATCTAAGAACACCATTTTGAGTCACAAAGTGCCCAGCCATCCTAGTTTTTCAGTCCTGAGCCTGATTTGCAAGTAGTTCTGCTCTTCCCTTCAGGATATTCTCACATTTGAGTTGTGATTCTTCCCTAGCAAACATACAAGGCAAGGAGAAAGGTCATCTCCTGGTGGGACTCTAGTGGTTGGCACAAGTCTTATTACAGTGCTGTGGTTTTTGTGGTCCTGAAAACAGCAGGGACAAGATGGGCAGGAGAAGGAGACATGGTGCCCATCACACCTGACCTTTTGTTCCACCTTTCTTACTCAGAACTGACTGTGGAGTTTTCTCTGACTCATAATAACATGAGTCAGGCTGGAACATCAGTAGGATCTTGAAGGCAGCACCACTTGTGTGGCAGTCCTGGGGGGGGAGAAAGTCTATGTCTAATCCCAGCCAAGAAGAAGTAGGTTCCCAAAAACCCCCTACGCTTAAAAGAAGAGCCACCAGGACTAAAATAGCAACAACTCTAAAGAAAGCAGGAATTTTTATTTTATGCTGCAAGCCCAGAGCACACTGAAGCCCCCTTGAAGAACAGCTGAGGTCCCCACACACCTACCTTTCCTGAGGTCCCTGTGGTGGTGCTTGCATTCCGAGCACGGAGTGAAAAGTCGAACAGTGTTATAGAGGTGGCTCTTGTTGGCCTTTGGGATGCCCTCCTTGGTAGCAGACATCTTGTAGAGCCTCTTCATGTACCGGAGGGCTCTGGAGTCTGGCTGCAGCCTGGGGGCCTCGCCGGCCCAGCTCTGGTGTCCCCGCTCAGACAGCACCTTGAGGAGGGGAGGCAGGAGGGCATAGCCACGTCTCACACCCCTGGGCAGCTGCAGCAAAGGGCTGAGCTCACTGGCTGTGTCCTTAGGAGCCACCAAAAACCCAGAGGTCTTGCCAGAGACAACACGAGCCCTAGAGTGGGGGGAACCCTGGATGCTAGAGGAAAGCCAGTGAAGACAGCAATAGAAACAAACACAAATCCTCCAGGTTCTCTCCATGCTCCTTAGGGCTGCAGCCAAGAAAAAGAAAGAAGAAAACAAACAAACAAACAAAAAAAAGCCTCCCCTAAAATATTCAAGAAAACAAGAGTAGCTGAGCCCAATCCTATATATATATGGTGCAGCTGTGGGGTGGGAGGGAGGGTCCTTTCTGATGAGAAACTAAAGAGAAAGATCTGCAGCTGGTGCTGGACCCACATGGTTTGCCTTTGCCCGCTAAAACATGTTACAAACGAGATCCTTATTCCCGGAGTTAACCTTTTTCACGTGGGAAATGCCAGAGCAGGAGGCAGCGCCGCCTCCAGAGGGAGCCGGGAGAGCAGAGACACAGCTCGGCATTGCTGCTCGTCGCAGGAGTAAGTAAGATAATTTAAAAGTTTCCTTTTCTGCCAGCGTATTTCTCACATTTCACTTCTCTGTGAAGGGGAGGGAGGTGAGTGTGGGGCTGGCAGATTCCTCCCCAGCACCCAGCACAGCTGCACCAGCTGTGGCATCCAAAAGCAAAGCAGCCAGAGTCAGAGCTCGGGCTGCAAAATCTCCAAAGGGAGCACTGTTGATTGTGGCAGGAATATTCAGAATATTCTTGTAGCTGAACATAACTAAAGCAATGGGGGTTAGTGTGTTTAATTAGGAAAATACGGGGGGGGGAATCTGTTTTCGTTATGGTCGTTTTTAATTAGAGCTAGGCTATCAATAATCTAGTGAAATGTCACCTGGAATTTAATTTGCACATCTTAAGGCTTCTGAGTGAGGCTTCTTTGAGTGGAGAGTGTTTAATTAACTTAAAAAATGTCAGTCTGGCATCATTGATGTGGAGTAGAAGGTTAATCAGGTAACAATTTATAATATGAATCTTTCCTTCTGTATTTCTGATTTGACTCTGCTAAGAGGGGGATACTGTCACTTCAAAGCTCAGCTGTGGCTAAACTGTTTTGGATAAGGTCATCTGTACTTTGATTCATTTTTAAAGTACATCCTTCAGTCAGGTGTGCTCATCAGCTCCCTCCCAGGTGGCTCTGAACTAGTCCCACTTTATATTAGTTGAAAACAAATGTCACAACAGTTTCTGCTGTTCCATGACAATTTAAGCTGCCTGCCAACCCCACCCTCTTCCACAACACAAACCTACATCTCTGCTCTCTCCTTTGCACTGATTATTATTATTTTTTTTTTTAATGTTAGCAGATTTTGTGATGAGTCCAGCCAGGGAGCTGAACAGGTAGGAAATAATCCAACAAAAAAAGGAGGGTTTGCTTTGCCTTGCTGAGCCCAATCCTGTATATATATAGATGATGTTTTACCCTCCTGACAAGGACACAGTCAATCAAAAAGAAAAAAAAAGTAATAAAAAAACCCAAAAAACCTCTGCTTCACTAAGGCATCTGTGTCTAAAGTACTGGATTCCCACTTCACAACAGTTAAACTGGTGCCTAAAGGTAATGGGTGTTCTAGCTGAACTTCCATTGCTCACAGGAGGTTTCTGTTCTTTGTTGCTGAAGGATCTAGCTGTAGATGATCCAATACTCTATTTAGTTCTTCTGCAGAGAGTTTCTAGACTTATGAAATGAAATTCTAGATTTATGGAAATATCCTTTTACTAAACTTCTGATACCTTTTGCATTCTATATTGGGTTAGGATAATCTGACCAAAAGTGGAACCTCATCTCTGGTTTATTGCACTGTTTCTCTGTCAATAAAAGGGAAGATCTCTGACAAGTGTTACAAACAGTAGCTGATAGATGAACCAGCTTGGTTTGAGTGGGGAGTTTGCTGCACCCTGATAAAGATAAACATTGTGGTTTCTCAGAGGATGCTGAGGAGGGTGGTGCCAAGCTGGGATCATGGTACATTTCAGGGCTCCTGCTGCCATTCCTGTGGGCATGTTACCTTCCTGTTGTCTGACGTGGCTGTAACCTGAGCATGTAACAGTGCTGAGGAGGAGTGACCTTGGGGACACTTTGTACAAGTAGAGTAAATAAATGTTCTTAACAGAGTAATCACTTAGCTGGTTCACTTAGTACCTGAGTGTGGTGGCTTAGTGAGCAGCCTTGTGAGAAAAGTTTTACTTCATCCTGTTGTGAAAACAAATGATTAGCAAAGAGCCACCTGACAGCTCAGCACTGCAAACCAGCCCAGTTTGCCCTTGGCTGCTGGTGGCCACTGGGTGTTGGTGTGGGGTCTTTGTCAGGTCTCTCCAGTGTTCCTGACGTGAGGGTACGTGCCTCTGGAGAGCTTTCTTAGAGCTCTCCTGGACCAAGAGTTTAGTTTGCAATTCATTCTGACAGCATTTTTCATCATCTGAGTGATGACTGGAGAGGAATGTATCTGTTCAATGATAAAATATGGCACTCAGTTTTACCTGCTCAGCAAATGTCACTTGGAACCCTAGTAGGTAATCAGATATTCTTTAAAAAATTAATGAGAGCTCATTCTCTGAAAAGAAAAAGCAGGTGTAGAAGAGAGCTACCCTGGGTAGCAGAGCAGGGCTCCTGGGGCCCTGCAGCAAGAGGGACACCCCCCTGGGCAGGGTTTCTGTGCAGCCCCCCATGGGCACAGATGTACAAGCTGAGGTTTTGTTACACACTCTGCATGGAGGGAACTCTGGGACACTGACCTGGTTCACACAGGTCTTTGAAAAGCCATTAGAGGGAAAGTTTTGTGCACACTCCCAAACACGAGTGCCCAGGTGGAACCTGGAGGAGACAGGCTTTTCATCTAGTTAAGTTTCTATTCAAATAAAACTTGTGCAGTTAATGAACAGAACTGTCACTTGTCTGCACGTGCAGTTTCTGTTCCAGGGAGGTGCTGTACCCAAAATGGGGATTGAAGGTCAACTTTCAAAATACAATTAAGACAGCTCAAAGGCAGCTGGTCTCAGGGGCGGGTTTTGCCTTTTCCTCCTCCCTCCTGTGTTGGTGGAATAGTTTCCACCTGGTCTGTGAACTGAAGGACCTGTTCCCCAGCTGCACGTCCAGTATAAAGGTGTGGGACAGGCCTGGCTGTGCTTTCTGCTGGGGAGGAGGGTTGGAGAGGCTGTCCTGCTGCTTTTGGGAGCAACTTGTTGTTAGCTTACTTCAGGTAGAATGTACAGTGCTGCAGCCAGGTATGGCTTAGATACTGGAGTGATCTGGAGAGATTCAGTAAAAAAATGCAAATGAGAGAGTAGAATTTAACTGGGATTTTCCTCTGGCTTTCTTTGTTGGGTTTTTTTTTGCCTGCTCCTCATAACCATGTAGGCAGGACTTTCATTTTTTTTCAGAATGGGCAAAGAAAATACTTGGAACAAAGTATTTAAAAAAATTAGAAAACTAGGGTTTTAATGGGATGTTCTTCCTCTGACCCTGGAGCACTGGTGTGCAAAGCTGGGCTTGTGAGGCTCGTGGTGCTCACGTGCAGCTCTCCTGCCTGGCCAGCTCTTGTTTACCAGCTGGAGAGCAAAGTCCTGAAGAACAGCAGCTGTGGGGAATGGAGAGGCTGGTGCTGGTCCCCAGACCCGGCCTGGCACGGCACTGGGCAGGTACCTCACTGGGCACCAGGTGGGATTCGCTTCTTCAGGGCTGGTTTTATTGCTCCTCAACGGAACAGCAGCCCGAGGGTCCGGCCGGGGCAGGAGTCGGGAAAGTGGGTTTTGTTCTCTTGGGGTCTTTGTTTCCCCCTCGGGTGCGGGGAAGATGCGTGTCCTCGCGTGACCCTTAGCGAGAAAACGCTGAAGTTATAAAACAGCTCCTGGAAACGGCCGGGAAATAAGTCCCAGCGTGAGAGACACTTCCCACCTCTCTGCTCCCGCTGCCCGCGCTTTGCCTTGCGGTGGGGAGCGCTGATCCTGGGGGTCTTTTCCAGCTTCGGGGGGTCCTGTGGTTCTGTCGTGCAGCCCTGGCCGGCAGGGGAAGCCCCGGGGGGGGCTGCGGGGGTCCCTGCCTTGGCCCCGGGGGTGTC